TCCCTATACTTGCAGCTATAGATTATAAGTAATAATTATGTAAGAATTAAATTTCTTAAAATATATATTTGCAACCAACCCTCGGTCACTTGGTCGGTTGTATTTATTAATATATAAAATAATTAAGTAAAAAATAGGTAATTAACATCAAAAGCTTCCGTAAATACGTCCAGCTAGAGGTAACTCTAAAACCAGTCATATCAAAGATGATTTGTATACTTGACCTGGTTGATTAGTATCTTGAGTATGTGCAGGCTACGTGTGAAGGTTTCACGATCAAACACCAGAATATGAACATAAGTAGATACATATATTGAATAATTACGTAATTCCAAATACGGTGTTTACTATTTAATGAGGATAAATTATATTACATAACCAATAAATATAATAAATTATAAATGCATCAGATATTAATAGAGCGTTTAGGATTTAAGCCTTACCTAGTAGGATGGTCAGACAACACGCGAACCTCCTCCGTTATGAGGGTGGCCCTTGGCCTGAACGGGGTTGAGAGTGGATCGCTTCCCGCTGGATCCCAGGCCCTTCCTCCAAAGGAGAGGGTTCGCGTAGGGCATTAAGTGGGTACGCCATCCGCGTTTTGACAAGCCTCGGTTGGATCCTTGTGGGTGAACAGTCCCATACACTCTCTACTCCTGTCAAGATGCGGGAAACGTGCATAAAGTGATTCCTTACAAGAAAAAAAGGAATGCAGAAACTATATACTAATATTCTAAAAGCTTTAACATAGTTAATTAAAACTGCTTCAAATTCTAGCAACATCAGATATTGTTGGGAATTGGAAATCGAACCATTGAGTTATCCGAAACCAAACATGAGTGATGAATTTTTCATGTACCTTCCCCTAATAGTGAGCATATCCATCAATGTTCAGGCAATCCACCCAAACAGCCGCCCAAATATCTTGGGATACCTGGTGGAGCTGGTGTATTTTTAAATTGATCAAATATAAAAATAATATGCTGTTGCAAAAAAAAGAACTTGGTAGGCATTTTAATTACTGAAAGATTTTATTTGAACACTATTCAAGAAAATAAAGTTTCCCTTGCAATAAATTTTAGAACTAATGTATTCCAAGAGCTACTGATGCAGTTTAGATGATGTTCAAAAATGTATGGTGCCTGAGCAGTATTACGGAATGTATGATTATGAAGGTGTACATCATCCAATTATACTTACGTCATATTTCCATAATACATCACCCTCCACAAAATGATTCCGAATATGAAACCTTCAAAATATTAAATTGTTTAAGACATTTGGTTTCGCAATTGTTTCACACTTGATCAATAACCTTAACTTTACATTAAAAATATGGATTTATTTATATCAAGTGCCACTTGGATGTTGTCTCCGTTTGTATTTGTCTAATCAACCCGATAGATCTTGTACGCTTGAAGTAACAAAGTAATAAGATTCACTATTGCATAATATCCGTCATGCTTCGTGTGGTGACAACTGTACAATATTCTACTACTAATGTTGAGGTCAAGACCTTCTAGATGTTATTAAAATTATATCTATAGAAGAGTTTTTACGAGTTTCTTTGAAGGATTGGATTAAGCGCGTTGGCTATCGGATTTCCTTCGTTATATCAGATGCCAATTGGTCGTACGTTAAATGATCACTTACGATTTATAAGAATGTCATTTAATCGAACCATATTGTTTTATCAAGAGTTGAGGGGAGAGCATGCTATACCCAATTATTTATGCTATGTAAATCCATAGATCTGTAGATACCACGAACTAAAAGATCTGCTGCTGGTGGCGAGACCAGAATACAGTAAGCCAGAAAGGTACTGAAAGTCTCTAGACCTTAATATTTTTTTACAGAGATTTCGGTTTTTCTTGGTCAATTATGTGGTAAGCAAGTGTACGTTATATGTTTTGCTGCTACACGATTTTGTTTACAATAATACAAATATCAATGTCACTTAATTTCATATGAAAAAGGTGTCTGTTCAATTTAAGATGCCAGTGAAGGATAGAACAGTTTATAAAGGAATTGTAAAGCTTAAGTGCTGGCATTACGATGTCCTAGGCTCTCATAGAAAAGACAATATGTAGAAAGTCCACAACAGACTGCTGTTGTCTATATCTACCCAAGATTTGGCTGTATGGCTTAGTTCCTTCGCCCGTCCCATTGACGAAACTACTACTACTACTGTCTATATCAATGAATTATGCTGCTCATTCTCTTCTTAATATAAAAAAATACACAAATAATGAATTTAATTGTCTACTCATTGGGAACAATCAATGAAGCTAGATTAATTAATAAAAACAAACAATAAATTGTGAAATTGATCCACGAACGCGGAAGAATGTTCTATTTTTAATTGCAAACGTTGCGTCTCGATGCACAATCATTACAAATGAAAAAAAAAACCAAGCAAAAAGCATGCGACCGCATCTGAACCCAACAGCCTAAATACAAGTGCAAGGTCGAAACGCTTTTTTTTAATTAAACCGAACTACAAAATTCATTCAAGCTGATAAAAACATTAGATCAGTATTTAGAAATACAGTAACATTGTCTAACATTTAAAACCTTCATGGTCAAGGAGTCGCGTGCATAAACTTGATTCCTACAGGTTCATAACCAAATTTTTAACTATCAGAATATTTTTTTAATAAAAATAATTTTTATCTGTCAAATTTGGCACAAATCCGTACCTAACACAATGTAGATTGTTTATTGGTATACCAAAATTGCGATACCTACATATGAGTATATATGTATATGACAATAGGAGCTAGATGCCTTTGCAACAAACAATATTATATCAATAATTTTAAAAACTACGTAGTTAACTCGTGGATAAAATGCAACATAATAACTCAAATATGTTGTCACAAAGGCTTTTTTTTTACTCTTGTATTATAATCAGTAAAGAGCCTTGTCCACTTAATTTGAAGTAGTTAAGGATTACAATAGCTGCACGCAACGTCAACTACTAATAACGTCCCATCTGGGTCACTGATCATTCTGTTTACTGCCGAAAATAACCATATTATTAATGTCTTTATTGAAACTTGATTACAATCGTAAAAATCTCGCAAAAAGATATAATAAATGAAATAAAATATTGACTTAAAGAAAACTAATTTTACAAAGTGATGTTTTAAATTACTTTGCAAGTTAAAGAAATTAAACAAAGTTACCTTCATAAAATCACAGTAAATTAACATTGAAACTTTTCTAGTGCATTATTCAAGCGATGTTTGAAAATTGCATGAAAATCTATTCATTAGTTTTGAAATTTTCAAGCAGATGTATCTTATATTTTCTAAGTTGTACTGGCAGACAAATTAAGATAGATACATATACAACTCTATCACTTATTGAATAATGATATTACAGTGACAAATTACAAGTTATTAACGTATTAACTGGTGTCGTCGCCCCGGATTCCCACGATAATGATTAATATTGTCGTATGTTAGCATATTTTTTCCGTCATATGTTGAATATGTCGGAAAAATTATAGAAACATTGTCATTCTTCAAGCGGTTCAAGGAAAATCTTAATTAAACACAAAATCATGAATTGCTACTTCGGTTATGGCCAGCATGAAATACGTTCGGAACAATTTGAGTTTGTCTTCAATAATATAATAATAATAAATAATAAAAATCTTTATTTGCAAAAATATGGTTTTATAAATTGTTATCAGTTCAAGCAGAGTCCGATCTAAGTAATGCATTAGTATACGGATAATATTACTATATTTATATATATGCTTCGTCAATTTTTAAATGTTATTAGATGCATTAAAAAAAATAATGAGTTAAAGAAAATCCGGTTTTGTTAATACAAAATAATAAACAGTACCTTAGTAACCTTCCGCATAAGTGACGGGAGCAACCTGGCCAAGCGGCATGATTCCACTACCAGCCCTTTTACGTCCCCACTGCAGTGGCTCAAGCCTTCCTTATGGATGGTTAAGGAGGATGGGCCATGACCCTCCACGCTGGCCCAATGCGGATTGGAGGGTATTAACAACTGCAAATGCGGCCGGGACCAACGGCTTAACGTGCCTTCCGAAGCACGGAGTAGCTCGAGAAAATAATTTTTTGGTCACCCATCCCGTGACCGACCCTTGCGAAAGTTGCTTAACGACTACGATCGCGGGCCTCGGCGCTTATCCACTACGTCACCGAGCTACTCGAATGTAAAGCCAGAAGCATGGCGTACCCAAGATCTGAAAACATTCGAATGGTGCCACCACATGGCGTCGACTTCGCAACATTTTACATGAAAATTATTTCGATGTATATATACTTGTACAGAAGTCCCAAAAGGGGGGAAAAATACAATACAGTTCCAACGAGATTGCATATTACATTTACCATTTTATCTTTAGAATAGTACCTTCCTAAATACGTGACTTACTTGTTGATTGGTGGTAGTTTAAAAGGCGATCAATAGAATTTTTAACGGAAGCGAGTAAACACCAGCATTATTCAGACAGACAAGACAGGAGGAGTAGACTTTATAAAAAAGTAGACTTTACTTTCCAATGTTTAAGGCTAATAAAGGCAATAAGAAACAGGCACTTAACTTTGATATGTCGCGGTACAACATGGTGTGTTTCATCAATAGTGCTGCTCTAACCGATGTACTCTATCAGGTGTACTCCATGCCGTGTTCAGGATCCTCCCCTCCATGCGGAAGTACTCCACAAAGACTTTCATCAGGTAGTCCAACCCCACTTCGACTTCACCTTAGGGCAAGTCTAGTGTTTGGAAAGTCTTGTTAAATAGCATAACGATCCGATGTATACTGAGTAGGTCGTAAAAGTTTGAATCTCTAGCTTATCGATATTATGTACAATTAGAGCTTCGCCCCCCTCATGTTTAAATTTCATTTATAAGAGGTTTAAAAAAATAGCAATCAAAGTAGTATTAATTCAAATAATTTAATCAATTTTCACATTGACTTAGCAACTAAACTCTGCCTATTGTTTGTTTCAGAATAACACAAAATGTTCCAAGGAGGCATATGGACGAAGCTCCAGGAGTACTATAAGTGGTACGTCCTCGGTTTGGTATCGATCGGCTACATTCTAGGAGAACTAGGACATTATCTTATAGGTAAGGTCTACTCGTCATTAAAAATTATTAAGGCTGTCATTTATTGCACCATAATAGCAGTTAAAACAATAACTTTAACCAGCGCAGCTTGGAAGGTTTTAGTTAACTGTTAAATGTTATGACGTTAAAGTATAAACCATAGCCGAATAGTGTAAACTCATTATTTGCTTTGAGAACGAAAAAGGAGTAACTTAGATTAAATGTTATTTGTATGTATTATTATGTGTTTGTATATTTATATTTACTTATATAGGAACATATTAAAACCAATGACATTATTATTAAATTCATATTATTTAATATTGTATTAACTATTGAATTTCTGCGTGTGAATACTTAGTTAGAAGTTGAAGTCATTGTTTAGAGTTTAATAATTTTTTATAACTTGTATACACACGCCACCTATCATTACGCGATCGATCATTATTTTATCACTTCTAAATAAAGCTAGAACACATGATGTCATGGCCAAAGAATATATAAACTAACGCTCTTGTAGGCAAAAAACTAACCAGTATTTACTGGCAATTATGTTTTTTGTTTAATAGAAACGAAATGGTTTTAGTTTTTTTTTTTAATAGAATTGTTTCCCTTGATACCACTCGATATATTCTCCTTCTAGTCAATACTTAAAGCTCGAAGAATATTCATCAGCTGTGACATAAAATTTCCTTAAGATTTAGGTCCTAAAGCACAAAAAATCCGATCTTCGGTTTTTTTACGAATGTATCAATTGTAAATATTTATCCAATGTACAGTAGTTTTGGAGGTCATCTATTAGAAACAAACAAAAATAAAATCTTACCTTTTTGAGGTGCGACGAGGAAGTGTATCAAACAATCTTCCTTTACATTAAGTATCTTACATTACTTATTTTTCGTCACCGTGCCTTCATGTTTCTTTCACCGCGCTCCTAACATTTCTATGGAAATCGCAAGGATTTCCAAACATTCTAGGGGGCGTCCATAAATTACGTGAGATGTTTAAGGGGGGGAGGGGGTCGAGGCAAATCTCATCTAATCTTACGTTGGAGAAAGGGGGGGTCTCGGCAAATATCACGCAATTTTTTTTCTGATTGAAACAAAAAAAAAACTATTTTGGTCCATTTAATCTAGATTGTACATGCTTAAGATTTAATCTTAAGCGTAATCGTATACGATTAAGATCATTCACTAATTCGTTCGAAAGAAAATAATTTAATTCATATTTCGACGCTATACATCGACTGAATGTCAAACTACCATATTTGTAGGGCTCGAACGATACTTTCGATACCGAGTAGGTATCGATACTTTCAAAAGCGATACTCGATACTGAGTACTCGATACTACAACAAGGCAAATACTCGCAAGTACTCATCAAATTGCATTTTGAAAAATCTCACGTGAGATTGGGGGATGGGGGAGGGGGTTGAATAAAATCTCACGATATCTCACCAGAGAGGGAGGGAGGGACAGAAAATTTAAAAAAACACCTCACGTAATTTATGGACGCCCCCCTAATATTCACTATACCAAAAAGTGATATCAACATAATTGGCTTTTGTTTCTGTCACCATTCTGTTTTTTGTATGGAAGTCATCCACTTGTCACGTGTACAAATACGCGCGACACCGTGAAAGTCCTCAGGCGTGGTGACAAGAGACAGAAACGCGATAACATTAAGATTTATCATTCTTTATACCTTTCTTTCGCCTCCCTCGGCGCGTTTTTCATAATTAGTTCCATAATTTAATCAAAATCATATCCATAAAGGTCTGTGCATCAGAGACAGTGTCAGGTTCTACCTCCGTTGTATCATAAATTATTGGAAAAGTGCGAAAATTTAATTAGCGTGTCGAAAATATAAAAAAACAATCGTTTTCGTAGAAACAGAGTAGATCTTTTGTTTGTTTTGCGTTTACCTTTATAATATTAATGTAGATAACAACTCTAATGTGTTGCCGTGGGTGTGCTGTTCTTATTTAATTATTAAGCTTTTGCAAATGACAATTGACCATATCTTTATAATCATAACTTTTAAGTACCAACTTGTATGAAACGTTGTTTTAAAACCGGTTACGAACGACACAAAAAACCTTCATACGCATAGTTTAGGACGCGCATAAAAATCAAGTTTATCTTTAAAAGGCTTAATTAATGTATTAATTGCTTCATTATTTGTTTCTCAAAATACATTAGTTTAAATTTTAATATATATTTATATAAAAAAGAAGGAAAAATAACATTCCGTTAATATTTCAGATACATCCTAGTTTTTTTTTTTTATAACAAAATATATCTCTTCGTTTTACAATATTGCCTATAATGAGATAAAACTCAGATTATGTTTATATTATTACCTATTCGGTTCATTGTGCACATGGCCGTCGTTGAGAATCTTACTTTACTTGCTTAACTGTCAATTATTATATATTTGATAAATTTGATTTATTTAAAAAAATGCTTAAAAATTTCACCAGTCCCAGATGCCCAAGATGGGATTCGAACCCATAAATTTTCACAACACGGGCGACTGTTCTAACCAATTAAACTACCCGAGGCCTAGCATAACTGATGAATTTCTCAAGCACGTGTTACTTTCGCTGTTCTAGTGAGCGTATTTTCATCAATGCTCAAAAGCAAACCACACTGACGAAAAAATTTCTTTCTAAACTTTCGATTAAGGTGAAATGTGATTTTAATAATTAATTATTTAAATAATGTAAACTAAAACTATATAAGATAAAAAATATCCCCCAATCATTGCTAATAGTAAGGTGCCCAGAAGGCTGAGCGTTTCCTCTTTGTATACCCACACCGATACTTTAAGCGAGGTTCAGACCAGCCTTCCGATCACCAGACCTATCAAAAAGTTTATACAAGCCTGTATTTTTTATCTTTGTATAAACGATGGGCTCCTAACGGGCCCATCGTTTCAACCTCAAAAGGCTCGTATGTATAATATTATACTTGAATATTTTCATCGTTAGAGGCTTTCTACGACAGCAGCGCCTGCACCTGATATATTTTAAATTATTATATTTGATCACTTTGGCATTCATAATGCTATATTCATTCAAGAAAAATGTTTGAATATGTTAAAATTTTCCCTATTTTAATTTTCGTGTTACCGTTGACAGGTACTACTTCGAAGGTGACCGCAGATGATTTGCACTATGGCGACAAATCCTGTATGCTGAATGCAACACATCTTAGTCTCAGCCAACTACCGATTGTCTGTGAAAGTGTTAATTCTTCAGCAATGTAAGTTAAAAACAACAGCATATCAGGGTACCAAAAAATACAAATGCCGTGATCATTTTTGAATTCTACTCACAATGTATTAAAGTAAAATATACTTAACATTGCGGTTACTTGTTATTCGAAGTTTACATAGTGCCACCATTACAGTAGTTTCATGAGCTTTCTAAATTATATATTACCAGTTGTTTTCCCGCTGCTTCGCATGCGCAAAATTATAGCTTATGTTATCCACGTCACGAATAATGTAGCTTCCCGTTGGTAAAAGAAATTTTAAAATCGGTCCAGTAGGTAGTTTAAGAGCTTATTCGATGCTAGCAGTCTTATCTTTCCTCTTTATAGTATTAGTATTAATGTGGGACTTCTAAAGCCGTAAATGCGTCTTACTCATTGGCCTTAATAATGAATTAACAACATTTTCAATGTCAATATTACCGACTGGCCTTGAACGAATTCAATGTCATAGAAACGCTCGTATCATATGCTCCTTGGCAGAAGTAATTTGTAGACAAATTAGCATCCAATCAATCTTTGTTTGGATATAGTTATCTCAGTCATTGGAACGTGAAATAACTTTAAGTTTTCTTCCGTAAATTAATGAAAAGGATAAGATATATTTCGCTCAACAACGTTCCGACGGTTGAAAACTGCGAACACTGAATGGTTCAGAAGAAAGACAGGTCTGAAGGACATTAACTCCGTAATTGCCCAACGAAAGTGGAAATGGGCGGGACATAGAGCACGGATAAATACTTAAAGGTGGATAAGACGGTTAGTCGAGAGGAGACGAAAAAGGTCACGTGGCCATCCAAACTGAGGGTTAATTGTCTTATTTAAAAACCTATCCCGATCCTCTACAAAGTTTAATAAATCGCTACGACATTCGCTATGATAGTGACAAAGATTTATGAAATTAGTAACGTTTGATTGAATTTATGAATTTATGGCAGTTTTGAGAGTGAGACAGCAGAATTGACTGATGGCTTATTAATTAAATTTTGAACCTGAATTTATTTTTATTTCACAAAATTTATTTTTATTGAATCACAACAAATGTTCCAAAGTACAAATGCGGCGTTTATATTTAGTTTCGGTAATTTTAAGAACCTTTTTTGAAATAGACCGCTCCGATGCCATACAATGGTCTAATAATATCTTGTTGTGTATCTGTGACATCACCTTAATGCTATCCAATGAAATATAGTAAAATAATCTTTGAAGGTTATAAGCTCCCAATTGAAAGGACACCGTTCCTAATCGAACAAAAAATTGCGAGTCATATATAAAACACAATATCTGACGACAAATATAACTTCACAAGTTTCCATTTACAGATAATGATGACGAGGTAAAACAGTTTCGTGCCAGTACAAAAACTTTTAAATAAAACCTTTTTTTGCGATGATAAACTAAAAAAAAAACTAAAAAGTGAACTCAGAATACTAAAGGTGTAATATTAATAAAATAAAATGAAAAACCAAATGTTTATATTTTAATATGCTACAAAGGATACAATAAAATTAAAGAAATCTTTATATTATATTTAAAGCAAGAAAAAACGTTATATCAAAAGTAATAAATTTGTCATAGCTTGTACTTACATACGTCAATAAAAAAACTTGTTTAAACACTTAGGTCTAAAGCATTATAGTATGTTTTTGCTAAATTGCAATGAATAAATGGATCACGGTTTTTATTATTTATTCATTGCTTAAGCGTTTTATAAAATAAAAAATCAATCGTATAAGTTTCGAAAAATGGCAATTAACATTAAGCTAAATCAAGCATTTTTTTTATATATTTTTTTATTAAAGAACAAACAGTTATCTATAACTTTTTACTTATTATAATAAAATATAGTACATGTGTCTATGATAACAATCCTTATATGATTGCTTATATCCTTATATTATTCTCACGTAACACGTGCTTGAGAATTCTCAATCTCCGCAATTAAAGAATGCACTGAAAATTATCACTACAAATAAAACAAAAGTATTTAAAAATTACTGTAAAAAAAAGATAAATAATTACAACAATCTTATATCGTTTTCTAAATTTTCACGCTACTCTTTAAATGATACTAATTTTAAATGATTTTATTTACCGCTTGGATATTTGAGCAATGATTACATTTTTCAAACATTTTGGATTCTTTAAAGGTTCCGTATTCAAATTCATTATAATCAATTATTCATGCCTATTTAAAATTATATCCTTTAACCGTTTTAAAATATTCATTCAAACATTATGCGCTTTAATAGATCAGCCACCTGCGTCCCTTTACAAGATATTATTGAGTTCAGATTTTGTAACGAATTTATATAAAGCTTTAACATAAATAAAGAATGAATTCTATAATCCTATATATACATGCCGGTCCGTATATTTATCAATCCCGTAAAATCAAGGCATTGGCTGAAATAATTCAGAATTAAAATATAAAACATTCTTCTGTATAAAAAAAACACACACACACACAATCGAACTATGCGGCGTTGCGTTATTTAATAATTACAAGATTCCCGTTGCCACCTTCATGTTCCATCATAAGACCCTGGATGTTAACTCAGAACAAAAAATCTTAAAGACAAATCCTACGAGCCCGATTGTATTTGTATTGAAATTTTCTGCGAGTTAGATTTAACAATGTCTTTTCGTTAGCTCTTAGTTGCAGCTGAAAATCAGCTTTTTGCTCGCAATGCATGCGTATAATTAGGGTTGCCAGATAGCGAGACTAAAATATCTGGACAAACTTTGATAAAGTCGGGATTTTGGGATCACAGTCGGGACAAAAAAAAAACTAAAAAAAATCTACTTTTAATTTATTAAATTTTAAATTTTACAAGTATCTACTTTTTTGTCAATTTATAAGATCAAGTATCTACTAATTATATTTTTTATGATAATTGTGTTATTTTCTTGTATTTCGATTTTACCGAATCTAACAATTTTGGTCTGGATATATTTGTTTTTTTCGGGACTCTGGACATCATACGAAATGTCTGTACAATCCAGACGAATCCCGACCATCTGGCAACCCTACGTATAATACTTGAAAATGAATCGAGACCTTTGTGCACTGTTGCATTTTACACATACCTACACTTTTTCGTTAATAGGTTTGCTGCATATGATATTTTCTCGTTTTTCTGTATTGATCAACTGTCTAATTTAAAAGCTGTCGCAACCCTTTTCAATTCGACATTTGAAAAATTTCACGAACTTTTCACACTATAACTATTTGAAATAAACAATTATTGTGATCGCAACGACTTTTTAAATGAACGATATCGTTAATTAAACGTTAATTAGATGCAAACATGACGTAATTTTAGTTACCACTTTTTATTATGTTTCTTGATAATTCAAATCATCGTTCATTCCAAAAGCGAATGCGACTTTAAACATTACATAATTCCATTAATAGCTATCATACTCGCTACACCTAATAAAGAGATTGCGGCGCTAGATTTCCCAATTTTATAAACAGTTATATAAAATACTTTTCTAATAACTATCTTCTTCGTTATCTATCTTCTATCTAAGACATAAATGCTTAAACTGTAAAGTACTTTTTTATTAGACTGTTTGTATGTTTAAATAAATGAAATAATATAAAAAAGAATCTCGAATTATTAAAATCTGCATAAACAAACACGGAAACCAATATAATCAAAAATATAAATATCAAATCCATCTTGTATCCTATAAAATATTTCAACAACATAACACGTTTCGTTTATCCACAAAAAACATGATCTGAATATGTAATGAGTAATGTACGTTAAATAATCGTATGAATCGCTGATCTCCTTAGCGTCACAAGGTCCTAAAAGTTCGACCTTAAAACTGTTACCTAGCAAATATATTTGACCTGTTTAGCTTAATCACCGACCTCAATAGTAATGGCAAATGTGACCTTTTATTTACGAATAATAAAGTAGTACGTACATGAAATTTAATTAAATAAAGCTGCAGAAACCGGGAGTCGTGTGTACATTAATTTAATATAATATCATAGAGTATAAGCCAGTTGCTATGGATTGAAATATTATTCAATATAATGAATAGGAGAGGGTCATAGGCGCATTCAACCGTTTGGTAGTTTCGCTAAGACTAGTTATAGAATCATCTTCATCTTCATCATTGATATCTAGATATAGAATCATATAGAGAAAAAGAGTAGCTCGGTGGCGTAATGGATAAGCGCCGCGGCCCGCGATCGTAGTCGTTAAGCAACTTTCGCAAGGGTCGGTCATGGGATGGGTGACCAAAAAATTATTGTCTCGAGCTACTCCGTGCTTCGGAAGGCACGTTAAGCCGTTGGTCCCGACTGCATTTGCAGTCGTTAATATCCTCCAATCCGCATTGGGCCAGCGTGGAGGGTCATGGCCCAACCTCCTTAACCATCCATAATGAAGGCCTGAGCCCCTGCAGTGGGGACGTAAAAGGGCTGGTGATGATGACGATGATAGAGAAAAAGGGCCATAATCCATCACACCCGGATCAAACTGCCCAAACGGACCCAATTTGAATCATTGCGTGTTCAGATGCAATCAGAAACAATGGCTTTACGTGATCAAAGCACAGTTCTGTGCTTCTGCTTGAGATAATATATTTCTTCATGAAACATCCGACGACCGACCCTTGCGAAATTTGCATAATCTCCGCAATTGCAGACTGAACGTGCCAACTGCGGCGCAATCGGGTTCCTGTCTGTTTTGACGTCACAATTTCACCGAATTTGTGATAAGTATGAGTAGCATGAAGGAATTTAACAGAACTGTTTTATTTGACAGATGCGAAACTCTAACGCTGAACGGGACGAAGTACTGCGAGTGGGGATACAACGGCTTGGGTATAGACTACCAAGTGCTGGCTGGTCCCGCCTTCATGGCTGTCTTTACAGTCGTCGGAGTCATCCTTGGAGTGGTAGCTGACAAGTAAGTACTTCCAAAAATGTTTATTCAAATAAACTCATTGAAACTCTTTTGGTCCACAACATTTTACCTACAACCAAATCAGAACATCTTTTGAGTAATAAGAAAAGTAAGCAACTAACGTATCAGCTCTCATGATATTATAATTTTCTTATATAAAATGAACCCTTTCTTCGAAATCCCTTTACTATGTATGATCTATCTTTTATGTATAAAACAGTTCGATCTGTTCAGCAATTTGTGTTGATAGATCAGTCTTTAATAGAAACAGATGTTATCTTACAGAAGTCGATTGCTTTAACTGTGAAACTATGTTATCTAGCAGCTTCCCCACCCAGTCAGTATCCGCAAGACCTGCTGTACACCGTCCGCATACAAATTCACATGTACAAATGACAAAAAATCTCAACAATCACTACTTACACGAATTTAGCCCTCCACGGAGCATATGCGTGCGGGCGGTGCACGAAAAGTCTTGCAGATACAGACTAGGTATGGAAGCTGCCAGATATCAAAGTTTCACAGCGATAGATCAGTTAATAAGACACTCACGTTTTAATATACCAACAGGTATAATAGAGCCCGTGTTCTATCCGTATGCACGTTGGTATTCGTCATAGCGATACTCCTCATGGGCACCGTTACTGAGTACTGGCATCTGGTCATCCTTCGTATGATCATGGCAGCGGGAGAATCAGGCTGTAATCCCCTAGCAACGGGGATCTTAACTGATCTGTTCCCTGAACACCAGAGGGCATTAGTCCTGTCGATATTCAACTGGGGTATTTACGGAGGATACGGCATTGCCTTCCCTGTTGGGAGGTACATCCCTGATCTGAACGCTTGGGGCTTGGTGAGTACATATTTTAAGGCTGTTATAATTTTTGTAACCATAATAAAATAGATGTTCCGATTCTGAGACACACAGATTAACTAGTTAAGGTGTAACATCTAGTCAAATCGGAAACTTCGCTTTTGGTTTCAACCACCTGATCAGTTACATTTTTGTTGCTTTATTACAAAAATTGATTCTAATAGCTTGAGATAATATATATTTTTTATCTATTTATTTATTTCGTACTGATATAATGGTAACTCTATCAAAATCAAATCAAAAGTGTTTAAGAAAATCTTGCATTTGTAATATCGGCTATGCTCTTCTAGTAAAAATAACCTGGAATTCGTCGTCGAGCTCAACGCTGTCCTTACTTAGAGTTTCAATAAAATAAAACCTTTCTTAATTTAAAAAATAGGTTTTATTTGATTTAGATAGTTGTGCTAAACCTTGTTTTTTCTGAAGTCGATTACCAACTGCGTTGAACTATTTAAAAAAAAAACGCTCCTTTTGGTAGATTCAAATATCTCTAGTAAAATAGTCTAACATACCTAAGATAGTTATAAACGAAACCGGTTACCAATATTGATTGCCCAATACGTAACATAAAATCGAGGTCTGAACATGATGAATGACTAATAAAATACCCGTCAAAGGAAATGGTTATAATCTGCGTAACCGCACTCTAATTTTTATCGTTCACTTCGTAATTTACATCGATGTGTTGTTAAGATATGTATGTATAAGATTAAAAAGCCGCAATAAAATAGGGAGAATAATTATATTATATAAATTATAAATATATGTATAAAAAGGCAGAGTAAAAAAATTGCTTTCTAAATATTTTTTTTGGGTTTATTCGAAAGTATCTATAGATATAACAAAATTAGCCGTTTTCCTGCCACTTCGTCCGTTATATTATAGCTTAAGACTTAACTAAAATTATATCAGCGCATTATATAGCTACTCATAGGTACATTTTTTTTAAATCAGTCCAGTAGCAGCAGATCTTATGCAATGCACCAAACAAACAATTAAATCTTACGATGTTTATTCAAACAGAGCTGGCGTCTATGCTATTATGGTGCTGGAGTCATCGGTCTGATCATTGCTTTCTTCACTTTCCTCACACTCCGAGAACCAGAGAGGACAACCATTGGAGAAGAAGGTCAGAATAATTATTTTTACAAAAAAATATGGTACAGGAATTTATATCATCGGAATAACAAAAAATAATGTTCTTTCATCAATAAATCATTCAATGACTTTTAAATATTATATCATTAGCTTTCCGCCAGCGGCTTCGCTCGCGTGGTCTTGTATTATACATACATAAAAATCTTCCTTTTGAATCACCCTATCGATGAAAAAAATCCGCATCAAAATCCGTTGCGTAGTTTTAAAGATTTTAGCATACATAAGGATATATGAACAGAGAAAGCGACTTTGTTTTATACTATATAGTGATAACACATGTATTTTATTAAAATTTTAAGTGTATACTAGATACTATAATTCAAAAGATATAGCACTATCAGAGACAGACGGAGGGAAAACAGAGCCGGCGGAAAGTATAAGATAGTAGAATATTCGTGGAATTATTTCAATCGCAAACATGATAATGATGCTGAAAAAACGCTCTTTACTCATAGCTCGATGTAATTCGACCGATATCGAATCGATAGTCGATTTAAATTGCATGTACATACGTACGAACGGAGTGCGATTGAGCGATATATTTGAGATCCGTATATCAAGTCACTTTACGAACTCAGTCTATTTTTAATCATGGAACTGTACCTCTAGTACTAGTTTATAGTTTTCGGAAACTAATTATGTTAGCATACATTTTACAGTAGCTCCTCTAGAGTAAACCATAATGAATTGAAAAATGCGGTACAAGTCAAATTAGTTTAAACAATCCATTGACATTGGCAGTATTGTGCGAAGTATAATCAAGACTGTTATTTCGTTTTGTTTATTTAATTATCAAATAAATATTACTCAAAAAGGAAGACGGACATTTTTATAATAAAAAATACTAAACTGTGTTTGTAATTATTCATGAGCCATTTAATAGTAACGCATAACAGCTGAATCGCAAAATATATATAAGTTTTCAGATAGCTATTTATTAAAACCATTTAATTTTTAGAAAAGACGGCTTCAAATAATATTTGCCGATGGCCCCTATGACAAACATTATACCTAATTTGTGAACAAGTGTCATCGAGTTGGAAATCGGAAAGTTTCATTGGATACTTTTCGAAAAGTCTTCATCTGTGATTTTGGCTTAAACATTCTGAAATGATAGCCAGCTACACATCGTACCACTCCAAAGATTCCCTAATAATAAATTATAAGAATGGAAATAAATATCGAAAATGTGTTGTACCTTTATTGTATGATATCATTCATTTTGGTTGTATATTAATTTTCTGAATTACTTGATTAATAGGTAAATAGGTCTTTTGAAGTAATACAAAAGCAAAAAACAACGAAACGAACCGATTATGAGAAATTAACATAAATAATAATTGGAAAATATTCTAATGAAAAATGCCTATAAAATCCACTTTGTCCCTGTTACTCTGAGATGGGATTCTAAACCCACGAACTTTCGCAATCCGGACGACTGCTCTAACCGCTGAGCTATCCAGGAGCTAACAGGACTGCCAAAATTTTCAAGCACTTGTTACTTTTTCGCTTCTATAGAGCGTTTTTTCATCAATGTATAGACAATCCACCCAAACAGCCGAAAGATTTTTTTACAAATTGTCTGCTTTACAAAGAGGCACAGTGTCATCTTGCTTAATCAATGATGACTACTCATAGATATTTTTATTATTTTGTGTACTATATGTATTAAAGTTGCTATTGAAACGGCTTTGACACGCGCAATACAATTTTATGAGAATACTATAGATCCTGTTTGCGTACTGACGATATGTGATAATAAGAAAAGTTCTACCTACGTATATTTATTTTTGTTTTCGCTTTTAGATGCCGGACATAGTAAGACAAATGATGCTTCGTTGGAGTCAGGCAAGAAGATGCCACAGGTGACCATCTGGCACGTCATTGCACAGCCGAGGATCCTGCTCCTCTGCATAGCTGCCTCCATCAGGCATTGTGGTAAAATTATAGTTTTCTTTCTTTATAAAGAGATAGGAATTTGAGTTGTCTTGAAAGTTAGACTGTCGGCGTAAAAGTTAAAATTTCCGGTAGTTCGGACTTTTACTGGCACTTTTAAACTGTCAACTTTTACAATTGACATTTTCCATATCATGAACTATTTTGTTGTCGGTCCTGCTCTAAATCACGTATTTTTTAAATACAGATTTATTAGTTTTAGGACTACGGAAATACAATGTGAAAATGGAAAATGGAAGGACTTAGAAACCGGGGCAAGTCAAGACACACCTTCAACGATTAAATTGATTGAATGATGTCAGAAGCCATAAAAACTAGCGAGCAAGTATAAAAAGAAAAATGACGTTTTAAATCCATGACAATTTATCGGTTGGTTTTACATTTATAGTCTAGACTTGTGCTTCATTAAATATTTAATAACCATACCTACTCCTAAGAGTAACATTTCAGTCAATAATTTTGTAACCAATACTTAAATAGCATTTAACTTAAATAATAACTGGTACTTAATCTGGTAGTTATAATCAGTGACTCATATAATAAATACCTACTTGAAATGTATCTATCAAGTATAAATCGTTTAAAGGTGCGTATACAACTCATGGTAATCACAATCAAAGGTTTTTATGGCAACTGAAAATACATTGGTTACTTGCAGTTTTTAACAACAGCGCTATAGAAACAGGCTCACAAAGAAAATAAGTATTAGTTTAAAAAGCGCCATTCAAGCAAACCGGAATTTTATTACATACCGGCCACAATTACGATTTCTATAATCATTGATTTTATGAAAAGACGTAAGATTCAGTATAACGTGAAGTGTAGTTAGAACAGAGCTTGCAAAAGATTCATAAAATATGGGTTAATTAATAAACTAGGTTACTAATACTTAGATGAATCTTGATGATGAATATATTATAATAAAGCAGAAAGAATGCAAGTTCAGGAATAATAGGCCAACTTGAGGCAATGTTCCTTTATCAATTTTAATAAATGGTCCCGTGACTGTCTTTTTAATGTCTACAGGCAGAGATCTATAGTTTTACTGCTTTGACCGAAAATGACTTGGCTAGGAAATCAGTATTGTGGGAGGGGGATAACTTAAGATAAGTTATATGTAGACCGCAGATCTCGAGTAGGATTCGAAGAGAGAAAGACGAAGCGCTCTTTAAATGCGGTGTGTGAGGATGAAACAGGATGGAATATAAGAGTCATAAATTAGTACTTAACAGTTTAACTATATACCAGGGAGAAAATCGTGAAGTTCTTTTGCTGTAATTCAGATTACTAAACACAAAGTTCAGTTTTTCTAGTGTATTGTCGCCCTTAAGTGAACAAGTGGCTAAGTTAGCCGGGTCCTGTCCTGTCACACAATGTCGCAATGTTGTCACGCACTCAAGGCCGTACAAGCAGCAAGCCGGAAATTATTGCTCCGTTGTTCTACAATAATTTCTTAGCATTAGTTACTACTTCCGTGACTCGAAAATTTGAATAATTAACGTGTTTAACGGTCGTTAAGTAATTACTATTACCTAGTAAAAGGAAACACTAGAATCTTAAGTGGATGTTTAGAGTGTGTACACGAAAAAATCACTATTAAGCTTTGATTTGTACAATGAAATAAATACTGGCAGCTAGTACAACTGCCTACATCAAGAAATGCAAAAATTGGTAACTATGTGATATTTTCTATCACGATAATCTTATAAATTACCCTTGGACGTATGATGTAGCATTCTCATTTTTATTTCTTTGTACAAAAGCAGTTGAAAGAGAGTAATTTTAAAAATCTGTGCCTTTTATAAAATGATGCCTTACTGTTACCGTAGCTGTTGCTATTGCGAAAGGCTACATACCTTTTTTTTTTGATGATATTGAAAAATGCGTTACTCATCCCTGTTCCTCCACTGGGAGGAACACGCCGACTGCGGCGTGATATTTGGGACTCCTCCTGCGATCCCACCCCCGAAGGGCTAGACAAAAACTAAGAGTTTACCCACTAAAACTCAGCGATGCCCCTCGCATGGAAGGCGATGCACGTCTGCGGGTTGGGGGTACGTCTCAGAGACATTCGAGATGCACCTGACATACTAAATATCAAAGCTTTCGAAAATTCTTGTCACAAGCTCTCCGCCTATAATGTTTGAGTTCTGGCACCTGAGACTTGATTATGTAGACTCTCTTGTCTCTTTTGTAATCACTGCTGTTTATATCTACAGATGATTTGTTTTCTTTCCAGGTGGTATGTGCTTCGCGTACAACGCCGACTTGTACTACCGTGACTACTTCCCAGACGTAGACCTGGGCTGGTGGCTGTTCGCTGTCACTGTTGGTATCGGCTCCGTGGGTGTAGTCGCGGGTGGTGTGATATCCGACAAGTAAATACATATATTGACAACCCTATAAGCTTTTAAACTTCTCCTTTTTTACTTCATACCCTATTTTCGTTTACACGATTCCGCCAATGTCAAGTTGGCGGCCTTCACCCGTCTAGAGAGAACAAGAATACATAATTATAAAGTTATAAAAAAATGAAAATTCTCTAAACTAATCTAATTTGTTCTACACAGTGGATGAATAAGGTTCACGAACACCCTAAGCAAGGCCTCATCTGCCCTCTGTAATATTGTCTACCTAGGCACGTGCCTAATTTACTTAAAGGATAATCCACCACTTATTCTGCAACTTTAAATCTAAATTTGTTTTAGGTTTGTAGCGAAGATGGGTGTTCGGTCCAGAGTGCTGGTGCTGGCGCTGTCGCAGCTCATCGCTACGCTGCCCGCATTCGGATCTGTCGTATTCGGTCCCCTGTGGGCTATGATTACTCTAGCCATTTCATACTTTTTTGGTAAGTTACTTATCATAAAGCGATGCCTCAAATTAATAATTGATTTTAACCATTGGCCGCCTAAAACAAATTGAGATGACAGTGACAGAAGAGGAAACGTCAAATTGAGACGTTTTTATACCTATGGTACTAAATACGTTTGTTTAATTAACCCAGCATATAAAAGAGGTCAAAGGGAATGTAAGATCATCAGCTAATGTTAACCAAATTGCCTTCGCTATGGCTGGAATTGCATCAAATGGGCTATGATGGCCCACCACGTACGCCCAGTATGGATTGGTGTGTGTCAACGACTGCAGACGTAGCTGAGGCTAAATGCTCAGCGTGCCTTCCGAAGCACAGAGGCGCTCGGGATTATAACGTTTTGGTCACCCATCCTATAACCGGCCCTTGCAAAAGTTGCTAAACTTCCATATCTCAAACCGAACGCGCTAAACATTATATCATTGAGTTAATTAATGAGACTTAATGAGCTGGAAATCCATAACACATTTATTTTAGCGTTATTAAAGTTGTTTCGTAAATCTCATAAAATGAAAAATTTGCCAGTTTGTCTCGGTAGAAATGAAGTACAAATTTAGCTCTAAACATCTTTTCTACAGTCTTGTCCACATGACATTTGGCCTATTCTTTAGATGGTGAATGCGTGTGCCTCAATTGTGGAGATATTAACGTTCGTAAACAAAAAATCACTTTCAATTGGTTCCAACATCCAATAAAAAAACGTCCCAATAAGCTGTCATTGAAATTTTTCTCACCAAAATCTTTTAAGGAATTTACGACAACAGTTTAATTATATGTTACCAGCGGAGATGTGGTTCGGCATCGTGTTCGCTATCCTGGTGGAGATAGTGCCGCTATCAGTTCGCTCCACCACAGTGGGAGTGTTCCTATTCGTGATGAACAACGTGGGCGGCAACCTGCCCATCCTGGTCGATCCCGTCTCCAAGGCCATCGGGTACAGGGAGGCCATCATGATCTTCTACGCTGGTTTCTACGGAATCAGTGAGTATTTCTTATCTTAATTAAACCCTAATACTCAAACGTATAACTTGTACGGACCTCCTACATACTACATCATGTCCTCGAACGAAACTTCGGAAAATTACGTATCGTTCTTAATAAACCATCTCTGAAAAGATTATCTGCTTCAAAAGCAGTGTCAGGTCTTACCTAATTTGCATCTTAAATTATCGAAATACGTTGTCCTTGGAGTTGTATTTACAACTCCGAGCAAGAAATCAGCAAGAGAGTGCAGCTTGAATGGGCAGTATTTGGAAAGCTGCGTAGTATCTTTTCGTCCACATTGTCACAATGCCTGAAGACCTCGGTATTCAATCAGTGCGTCCTACCAGTTATGTCCTATAGAGTCGAAGCGTGGAACATAACAGTGACGCTGGCCCACCGACTACATCCTACTCAGCGAGCTATTGAAAGGTCTATGCTCGGAGTCTCTCTAAGGGATAAAATCGGAATGAGGTCATCCGGCAGAAGAGTAAAGTGATGGATGTCTTCTAGAAATGTAGCAAGCTGAAGTGGCAGTGGGGTGGCCAAATCTGTCGCAGAACCGACGAGAAGTGGAGTAGACGAGTTCTCGAATGAAAACCACCCCTCGGCAAACGTAGTGTCACACGCTCGACGGCAAGATGGCCGGACGACCTCAGAAAAGTATATGTTTCTTTCAGCTAAAAACAAACTATTGCCTATTTTGCATTCATTCAAAATCCGAAAGGAGGATTTTCTATTTATTAAATTTGATATCTATTTTGATATCTATTTATTAAATTATCTCGACTTTCACAAGTGCTTGTAACAGCCTAGACTGAATAAATGATTTTGATTTTGATTTTGATAAATTTTACAATCACAATGCTGTACTGAAAAATAATATTAATAAAAATGTTTAAAAAATCCATTGTTTCCCTAGTACTCTGAGATGTGATCCCATCATTTTTGATTAAGAGGGTTTTCTATGTTTTGCTAACTTTTGTGTGATGTCCTGTGTCGTTATTTGAAATTTCCATAAAACAAATTCGAAAAGTTACATACAGTTAATTCATTTGGGATCTAAGCGATATGCCCGTACTTATGTAATGTTGTTTAATACTAAAAGAAGGTGTTATCCTACAAGTTTTACTACATTATATTCAACTACTATTCTTGTTACAGGCAGCATACTGTTTTTCCTGACGATGTTCCTAATGGATGGTCCAATTGAACCCAAACCTGAATTGCCGAAGAGCACCGGCATGGACAACCGAGCCTTCTCACAAGACGAACTCGTGAGGACCGAGAGAAGTCTACCATCAGCACCAGATTCTAGTAAACTGTAGATTGATTCTACTTTCACTGTAAACAGTTTCCAGACGTGGATTTTGTATGATTTTGTTTAGTTCCTCAAAACTTAGAATGTGAGTTTAGGAGATTAATCTTTTTTATAAATGAGTACAAATAGTTCTCCACAGAACAAAGAATTAAAAAGACAGAGTTAAATACTGCAAACAGTGTGACGACAGCACTATTATATAATAATTTTAGCAGAAGCAACACAAAGAACCATCTAGGTTATAGAAGATCTTATTGTAGACTTAAAGTTATGTTGAAATAGCTAACAATGTTAAAAAATCTATGGAGGGTAGTAAGACAATGAATATGGTAAAAGTAAAAGAACTGTCAAAACGAGAATCTATATCTAATGATAGTTAAAGTATAACACAGGTCCTAACATAGATCCCTTAGGTACTTGTTATTACGATTATTGGCAAAGATTGCAAAGAATCAACGAAAGATTTACGTAGTTTTGTTATAGTTATCCTAGATTCTTAAGAGGACCACGTTTTCAAAATATGATATTAATAATAATCTCATATCTATATTAAATTCCAGATCCAGCCGTTAAATTTAAACATAAATATTTGTATGTGTGTAAATATGATGCAAGATATTGGTATTTTTATATAAATTTTTCAATAATTCGACTCAATTACTCAAAAATTAATCAAAATAATGTTATTTTAACTTGTTTTTTTTTTATTTAATACGAATATGTCGATGAATGTAAAATATGTACTAGATAAATATCATTATTGAAGCCTTGAAAATATAAAGGATTGATTAATAGCGTGTTCAGTATAAAAAAATCATCAAACCAAACTTAAAATTCCTATAATACAATGCTCATTTATCAAGTTTGTTTAGATGAAACATCACTACATTTAAACCGATAACAGATGGGGCTCATACCGCAATTAAATCTTGAAATTTTTTAATGAATAAAAATGCATGATTTTATAGTATAAATTTAAATTATCATCAGGTTGATACGGGCCTGATTATAATTGAAATTAAATATAATCAAAAACCGCTACTGGACGCGGGCAGCGCTGGACCGATTGTCGTTAAGATCTATCAGGGAGGCCTATGCTGAGCAGCGGGCGTCTTACAGCTGATCATGTTTTGTCAGATTATGCAAATCTGTTAAACTTCACTTGATTTTAAACCTTAATGTATTCGTATGCGTGGTCACATGTCGAGTGTACATACGTGGACACCTTATCATAAGAAGCCATCTGTTGATATTGAGCTATTATCATCATGGCTTTTACTATACAGTTAAAATGTGGGTACTTATTGAGGAATGTAGTTAACATTGTGATAAATGATTTTGTAAATATTTATTATGTAATTAAGTCTTATTGTAAATAAAAAGTTGAATACTGTTTAATTATTTTATTTAAAATGCATCTTTTATTTATTACCTGTCTTCATAGATGGACACACAATAGAACATACCACACTGATCAGTAATACATATTTGTTATATATTTTATACCTTGTACATATGTGCTCTTGAGAAAATAAAACAGTTTTGCGTTTAACTTTATTAATTTATTGTAAGAGCTTACATACAAGAGGGAAAGACAAAGATAAAAACAATAGCCTACATTATATAACTCTCTTATCTGTCAGTCATTGTTCAATTCCTTTACATTTACATTATCCTTTTAGTTCAGAGTATAAAAATTGTGCAACGATTTCTAAATGTCCAATTCCCGTCTCATTCCCCAATATGTCTAAATTACTATCATGATGGGTTTGTTAAAAACACTGATGGATGTTCGATGCTTAGTAAAAAATTAATAAAAGGCTGACTAAGCTTGAGAACTTGATTTAATAAAGAGTAAACAAAAAATAACGTTTTCTTCTGGTTTGTTGAGTAATTTAACTTTATTATTTATATGATTTGATATAGTATACATTTTTACAACATATAACTATTGATTGGAATTAAATATGTATAATGTTTCCGATTCGACGAATTTTCACCAACTGACATTCATAAATATTACACAAAATTTCAAATTACGAAAAGTGAATAATAAAAATAAATGATGTTGAAGATCAAAAACAAAAAGGTTGCATGCAGAAACCTAGGATGAAATAAACGGTGGTACAACGCACCGTTACATAACTAATTGGTGAAGTCTTAATAGCCTCCCTAAAAATATTAAACATTAACAATCATGCTAAGTACTTATTATATATCTGTGTATTCAGCAATCCATTTATATACTGTATTGTACTTTTTACAATTGGACATTCTAAACTGATCAGTATATAATTACTCACACAATAATTTATCTTTATCGGGTTTTCCTCTTTGGCAATCAACAAAGTGACATATATTAAAATATTATGTGAGCATTGAAACAAAAATATATGTAGCAGTAACCATAGAGCTCTGAATCACTTCCACGTCCACCGTAATATCCACCATATATTTTAATCTATTATTATACAGGGTGGGGTCAGCAACCTTATTGCTATAAAGTCCCATATAAGATAAGGCACAACTATGCGAAAATGAAACAGAATTATATGAACAATGACATCCATTGTTTTCTCTCAACGCACACTCAATATCTCATTGTCCTTTTTTAGTCTAACCCTATAACAGAGTATAAAAAAAAATATTCATCCATTCTCTGTTAACATTTTTATCATTCAATCAGTGTTAATAAATTACCATTTCCATTTTTTTTATACTTATACAGCTTTTCTTTTCTCCTCGATTTCCAACATTTGATTTCCTCCTTTGATAAAATATGTTCACTGGAGAGTACAGCTGCTTTAATTTTATCTGAAAAAAAAAAATATAATACATAAACTACACATAGCAGGTAAGTTAATTTGAAATAAGTCCACAATATAAAATTTGAAAAAATTCTACATCTATATTCATAACAGACTGAATATGCAACATATATTGTTCAAATTTAATTTGTACAATCAGAAAAACCATGAATATAAATCACTTTTAAAACCAAACATTCCCACTATGGAGTCACCACCCTCCCGAACCAGTAGTTGTTAATATATTGATAATTTTTTATCTTGATATGGCAGCCTCAGCACAATAGGGATGGGAGAACTGGGCTATTGAGTATTTCTAAAATTCAGATTATCCTTAGTTATTACAATAATTGTTTAATTTTACCTATAGGAGTTAAATCACCATCTTCGATTTTCCTCTTGGCCCTTTTCATTTTTTTTGCCTCTGCATTATGCTCTTCAGTGAATGTGTCTTTGGCTTCTACCCATGATAAATAATTTTCAGAATCTTTGAAAAGTTTTATACCACCTTTGATTTTTCTCTTCCTATAAAAAAATATAATTTATTTATTATTTTTGATCAATACTGCATTCACAATTCTAAATTGAAAATTTTTTTTAATAAAAAATGCTTAAGAAATCCACTCTGAGAAGGGATTTGATCCCATGACCTTTTCAATCCAGGCAACCGCTCTAACCACTGAGCTACTCAGTACCTAACAGGACTGACAAATTTTTCAAGCACTTGTTGCTTTTTGCTACCAGTGAGCGTATTTTCATCTATGTTCAGGCAACCCATCCAAATAGCCAAAAAAAAATATTTTTCCAAATATGTAAACTTTTCATAAAGATGAATATTTGTTCTAAACATTATATTTTATCAATTTTGTTTTCAAAATATAGTTATATCTATTTTAGTATAAATTTTATTATATGACTATCCATGAAAATAGTAGATAGGACCTAGATATTTAATTTATTTGACTATAGTTCACACAGGTGAAGGCACAGGAAAACAGTAGTTTATGTAAATCAGATACCAAGTCACAAGTTGAAATGCTAAAATTCCAAAAATATATTTTTTTTGTTTTATTTTTCCCAACTTAATTATTTATTTACAACAGTGTGAACTTACTTTGTTTTTACATATTCAATATTTACGAATTCCACTTGTTTATCGATAATAGCCGATATTTTAGTGGCAATTTTCTTCTGTAATTCTGCAGGCACTATAACATCGTTGTAATGACTGGCAACTTCCAAGTATCGCTCGGATTTCGTTTTTGCGTTTATATCTACAAAAAAGACGTAAAATTAATTACAAGTCCGTGAAATAATGCTCTATTTGAAAAACACAAAAAAAAATGGTAAGCCTTATTTATTCTTGTTTTTAACTTTCATGGCTACCAGTATAATCTATGATGGCTACTCTGCATCAACCACAAATCTGCCAACTCCACGTAAGTAGGAGACAATCACACGATTTATATACATTCATTCAATCAAAGAATTTTGAATTACCCTTTTACATGGATTTACCAAGAATAACACGTAATAAAGCCTTATTTAAATTACACATTTTAAAAAACCAACCACATTTATGATCAATTTGCTTCTTTCCTCTTGACTGATCAATCAGTTGAGTAAAGGTACTGTCTACAGCTTCTCTAAAACGAGACAAATCTTCATCTTCTGATGAATCCGACATACTTAGGAAATAAGTAGTTCAACAACTCCCAATCCCCATCTATTTCACCGAGACGTAGACAGATGCAAAAACCGCACACAATCACTCCCGGACTAAACCAACAACAAAGGCTCGCAGACTTCAAAGGCTTCAGCCAGCTCCACCGCGTGTTTTTGACATTGACATAAACAGTTGTATAATTATAGGTTTACAAAGATCAATAAAAATCTTATGAATATTCATCATTATTAGATTAATAATAATGAATTAATACTATTTGTTTCTTAAATATATGTTACAACATTAGATTTCAATTAATTAGCATAACGGAACTTTTATATAATTATTCAAATTATAACAAAAGTTCCGCTTAATATTTATGTAGCCTGAGGGACGAAGCTTCATTTGGAAACATTTCTATAGTGTCATATGATTATGAATACCACTGTCAAATACAGCTGATAGTAGTTGTATTCCTTCATCAATTCGTTTCTATCTTTCATTAGTAAGTATTTCGTTAAAAATTATTATGTTATATAAGATATATTAAAATATATTCGAAATCTCAATATTAAATACATATTTAACAAGGGACACACTTCTAATTTGTAGGTTATGTGAATAAACTCGAAAAACATTATTGTTATTGATTAGTCTGTAAGTGGTTTCGTCTTACTTTATTTTGTTTCAGAAATACATACATAAAATCTTTGAAAATATGACAGAGTACACAAAACCGCCTCTCGATCCAAATTTAGGTAAATTTTTCGAAAAGAATGATTATGATTCCCTTGCCAAGTATCTTGTGGGTAACAACAGCAGATTTCGTGAAAATATAATTATTCCAAAAGTGTTAGGGCCAGTTATTATTAAAACTAACGAAGAGAAAATGATAGAAGCCACAGTGGAAAGTTGTCCATTCAAATCTATAACCAGTTGCATTATTGGTAAGTACCTATTTAAACACTTATATTCTTGAGTTGAAATACTTTAACTTACTTAAAAAGTTTAAGGTTTCAACAATCCAAAAACAGTTTTGCTGTTTTGCAACAATTATAATCAGTGATCTGAAAACAAGATTTTTAGTTTCACAAAATAATTTGGTAAATTTTTATTGGCTTTGGTGTTCTTAGTCTTGTATGTTTATTTGTAAATGTATTTTTTCCCAGGATATGGTTTAGGTGCAGCTGTGGGCTTATTCACGTCATCACTAATGCCTAATGTAACAGATACAACTGCACAACAGACCCAAACAGCCAGAGAAATATTAAGAGAAATGAAAGGATCAATGCTGAGTTATGCAAAAAATTTTGCTATACTAGGAGCCGTATTCTCAGGGGTAGAGTGCTGTATAGAAACTGCTAGAGGGAAGTCAGATTGGAAGAATGGTACATATGCGGGTGGTATAACTGGAGGACTAATTGGATTAAGAGGTATATAGAGATAAAACTAAATGGTAAAACAAAACAAATAGACAACATTAGATGAAGATTATTTAAAATTCTCCAAACACCAGAAATCATTGATACCCAAATTAAAACCATTTAAGTAAATATAATTTTGGTTTCAGGTGGACTTAAGGCTGGATTATTTGGGGCAGCAGGGTTTGCAGCTTTTTCTACTGCTATTGATTATTATATGCATCAACGTTAATAACTTATTAGATTATTATATGTATATAAATTAGTCAATATCTTGATTTTAATTTTATTAATAATCTTAAAAAAAAATTATAAACAAACTTTTTCATGCTGTAAAAACAATTATTTGCAACTACGTATATGTTAGCCATAGAATGGTGTAATATGTAAAAAAAATGTTTCAAATAATCGTAACTTAGTAGCCAACAGCAGTGTTTCCACTTCCTTGGAGTAAGTGTTCTGTAGTTTACTCATTCAAACCTTTGAATTGAATGCACCAAACCCAAGAATTTTAAATAAAAACCACATTACATTTCATTCAACAGAATTATGAAATAAATAATGAATTATGTAGATGAGACATTAGATAAAAATGTGTATATATGTGCGTCCCAGCAGTACACGATGGTCCCAGCTTAGCGTCAAGTATTCACGCGCATGCAATGCGAGCAAGTCGCTGATTTTCAGCTGCAACCAAGAGTGAACGCAAATCAGTTAAACCATTCTAAATATTATATTTTATAGATAAAAAATAAATAACATAAATAGAAAAATATAAAATTCATATAGTAAATATTTTTTGAATAATAATAAGGAAGTATTTAAAAAAAACGATAGCACTAAATAAGCACCTCCACTAGATGGCGACTCTAGCAAAAGTTGTTTTTGCAGGAAACGAATGGATCAAAGAGAGTCATTTCCGTTCCTATTAACTAATTTATAAAAAAACTGACATTTGAATTCTTCGAAACTTACTTAGATAATAAATAAAGCACATTACACAAATTGGGAGAATCACTGATGAATCATTAATTTTTTAATGAATACATTTATAAAATTGTGTATAAAATCTACATTTATATTCCGGATGTTGGAGGCTTGGTGACCTGTAAAACGGGTTTTACACTCAAGTGCAGTCTCCACGATAAATTCTGAAGTCCTTGATACGCTCTGCACTTTTGTACATTTTTTTGATATTGTGGAGGAAAATAAAGAAATATTATTATTATAATACAAATACGAAAAAGTACAAATAGAATATGAGTTGTTTATTGAGTTTTGAAAACTAATTTACTTTTAAACATGAAAGAAAACCGGAAAGGTTGTCATGGCGTAATCAAAAACGTACCGTGGCGACATCTTGTTAGATTTCGGGAACTAATGTTTTTTTTTAAATACTTCCTAATTACTATATGTACTTATTATAAAATTAAAGTCAAATTTATTATTATTTCATTAAAATCAAGTTAAATTGTATAATTCGATATTATCGATGATAAACCAATGATATTAATATGTCTAGATACGCAATAAATACCAAAAATCTGAAATTACTAAAACTAAGACGTTTGTCTTAGTTTGTTTATTTTTCACTTCATTACTCATTCAACTCCCGCCGAGAAAGTACAAAAAAATGCTCCGCAAAAACGAAGAAAAACAGTGAATAAAATACTATTTTCTTTCACAAATACACATAATACGAAAAAAATATTAAGTTTCATACTTAATTCATTAACATTTTTGGCAATGAATACAAAATTAAAGCTAGTTTAATGAACTATTAGAGGTGGTCGAATTGGTATACGAGTCTAAAGTTTTGTTTAAAATTAAATCATAGATTTACTATAGTTTAATACGTCCTATAGCAGGATGTGTGACATAATCTTCAAATATCAAAAGTATTTTTACAAACTTACACCGATACAACTTAAAATAAAAAGAAATAGGTTTCTGAAATTATTTCCTATACTGGAGACGTTGCTGATCTGACGCTTTTCAAAGCTGTCTTGTCGTCAGCCCAACAGTGCACCACAACAAAGACTCAGACCAATTGTTAATTTTATCAGCGACTTATAAATTAAGGTTTTAACATAGATTTTCAAGGAATCAAAAATTGATTTTAAAATCCAGGTTGGCGGCGCTGCTGGATTGATGATTTTCCAGTGCTAACATGAGTCATAATCATGAGACTCGATATAAGTAAATAATTTTCATGTCATAATTTAAACCTTGGTAAAAGTTTATTGTTTTTCGTTGGCCGTACTTTTTCACAATCGATACGCACCATGAGAACCTTTTTATAAGACTGGCAACTTTGTAACTGCCACTTTTTTAAAAAGTTATACAAAAGACGGCCCGGCGCGGCGCATTGATCTAAAAGTACGGCGAGTAATTGATTTTTTTGTCAGTCTGTCGAATTTATGTTAGTGTTTATTTCACACGTGTCTAGTTTCAAAATAGTGTAAAAACGTGCATAAACTATCGAACTTACAATTTAATTCTGCATACTACAATCAACCTTTGGTAATAAAATGAAGGATCCTTTTGCGACCGACGTTACCGATTCTCCAGCGCACAGTTTGAAGGATATCGATGGTTGTTACAATAAAAATATATTTAAAACACAATCTTTCGCAAATTCACGTCGTGCCTTGCAATCGGGCGCTGATAAAATATCCAGGACTTTCAGGAGTGTTAAAAATTCCTTTGGTAATTTATCACAGGTAAAAAATTATAATAGACACTATCCATCTTCGTATCATCAAAGTTTTTATGATACATATAAGCGGCAATTTTAAGACGTCTTATTATTTTTACATGAATATCTACCAGTAGTTCATAAATTATATATGAACTTGTAACATGTCAAAAATATTATAAAGAAATTAATAAAACAAGAAACTAAGTTATTTAAAAATCTATTATCAAAGACTATTTTATACTGATTATGACAAAGATAATGTTCGCTTTTTGAAATATTATTTTTGATAGCATTTCAGGTTGGGTGGTAGACGGAGACACAGACTTACAGATACTGGTTCCCCTTGTCGCACTCCATCTACACCGGTGGCTAAAAAGAAATCCGTAAGTAATTATAATAAATAATATATATTTTCTATGCCATCTAAACTCATAACCTATTATGAGAAATATAAAAAAAAATAGTTTACATAGCTTTATTTATTTATTTAACATTTTATGTACATAGGCATATACATTGACTTGTATGAGCAGTAGAAACTGTTTTGCAGATAATAAAATTACATATTTTGTATGGTAGGCTAAATTTGTTATCCCATTCATATAATGGAATGTTTTATTGTTTTTCTGGTACAGATACTAGCTAGAACTCCTACCAAGTTATACAGTCCATTTGGTATAGAAACTCCACACAATCGTGACTTCAGGATGACTCCATATATGCCTGACACCCCAGAACATGGGTAAGTGTATTATTGAGGAATAGGTTAGTTCCAGTAGTGAAAAAATAAGTCACGTAATTACACAAAAACTAAAATTTACACCGAAATTAACATAGAATTTCTGAATTCGAGTTTTAAAATCACATGATAATGTTTTGTGTACACATAACAATGACTTAATTAATATGACGAACAGTGTTTCTGAAGGTATAAAAAGAGTTTAAATTTAGGTTTAAACTTTTTGATTTATCCTAATGATCTGAAGGCAATTAACAATGTTTATTATTCCGAAATATTAGTTTTTATACCTTTTTAAATTAAAATAAACAGTAACAAGTATTATTTGAAACAGAGTAGAATACCCCATTATCAACATTCCCCATGAAAGAGTGGTCAATCTAGCATATGAGATATCACCATCCCTGAGTGCCAAGATCAATTCCTGTTGGTGTCAATATAAAAAATCTGTCATGTTTTTATTGTTTTATATAAACTCACTACAGATTTAAGGTCTTTGTTTTCCATTATTTCTTTTATTTATAATAATAATAATAATAAAGCCTTTATTACTGATTTGTAGTTTGCAATTTACAATTTATACCGAAATTCACACATCATTCATCAGTGTGTCCTGCTGACACATAGGCCTCCTCTAACTTTTTCCATTCTTCTTTGTTTCTAGCTATTCTTATCCATAGAGTCCCCGCTGTTCTACGTAAGTCATCAGCCCATCTCTTGAGCTGTCTACCTCTTTTCCTTTTTGTGTTATAACGCGGTATCCATTCAGTCAGGGTTTTGGCCCATCTCACTGCTGGCTGTCTTACAATGTGGCCAGACCATCTCCACTTTAGTAGTTTGCATTTCATATTAACATCCTCGAATTTGGTGATCTTGCGTAGATCAGATGCACGCATCTTATCTCTCAATTTGTATCCAAGGATGCTCCTTTCCATACTTCTCTGAGTAGTTCTTAATTTGTTTTGGAGTTTTTGGGTTAGGGCCCATGTTTGACAGCCATATGTAAGTATAGGTAATAGACAGGTGTTGAAGAGCTTTCTCTTGATACTGATTTTGTACTTTTTGTTTTTGAAAATATCTTTAAGAGCCCAGTATCGCTTCCATGTGTTTGTTACTCGCCTGTCGATTTCTTGTGGCATCTGGTTTTGGAAGGATATTATCTGTCCTAGATAAATATAGGTATTCACATACTCTATTTTTTCATTATCAACAAGTATTATTTTTTCAATATCGTTTGTCATCACCTCGGTTTTTAACTTGTTGATTGTTAGGCCCACTTCTTCACTTTTGCTAGCTAGGTCTTGGAGCATTGATTGCAAAGTCTCTGGGTTTTCTGTTATCAACACCAAGTCGTCTGCAAACCTAAGATGGTTGAGTTTGCGGCCATCAATATTGATTCCGAGATCATCCCAGGATAGTTTTCTCATGACCTCTTCCAGCACAGCGGAAAACAATTTAGGAGACAGGGGATCCCCCTGTCTTACTCCTCTTTGAATTGGAAAGCTTTTTCCGCATGTCTCAAGTTTGATGATCGCTGTACTGTCGAAATAAACGTTTTTTATCAGCCTTATGTATTTAGATTCGACCCCTTGATTTTCTAGGGCTCTCCAAATATAATGGTGTTCCAAACAATCAAAGGCTTTTTTATAGTCAACAAATGCCAAATATAATATGTACCCAAACTCTTGGCTTTTTTCTATGATTTGCTTTAGGCTGTGTATATGGTCTATGGTTGAATATCCTGTTCTAAATCCTGCTTGTTCAGGTGGTTGGTGAAATTCCAAGGTTTTGCAGATTCTATTAAGAATTATTTTTGAAAAGACTTTGTATATATTTGACATGAGGCTAATAGGGCGGTAGTTGTTTATATCTTCTTTGTCGCCTTTTCTTTTTTTTTTGCCATTTCTTTTATTTAGATTACTTAAAATTATTTTCACAATGGCGGTTCCTGTTAAAAGTGACGTGACACATACACAAAAAGTTACGACCTTTAATTTTAAGATAAACATGGAATTTTAAAACTTAAAATCAGAATCTCTATGTTTATTTCAGTGAAAATTTTAGATTTTCTTAGACATTAAATAGAAGAGAGAAAAAATTCTTTAATATCATATATAAAATAAACAGTTAAATTAAAAATTTAAAAGACCTCCGACACAATATAATAAAAAAAATTCAAGTAAAATGCTTAAAAAACAAATTGAAATTACTATGACTTAATTGTCCACAAATAATGCAAAAAAGGGATAAACGTGAAACCCTTTAAAAAGAAAAAATAACCTTGACATTATGACCCCACATAATTACAGACAACAGCATGTCAGACTATTTCATTTTGAACTCTGCGCTAATATTGAACTGCAAGTACCTTGACCTGCTGTTGACCGTACATATGATTTTTTTTTATTAAATGTTGTCGCGTCGGGGGCTGTCATATTAATTCGTAGGAATTATTATATGTACTTCTGTATCCATAAGCTATAGTGCAAACGATCTAATCTAATGGTCTAATTTTATATTTTTAAAGGTTGTCACCGAAACGACGCAAAGGAGTCACCCATTCATGGCATCTCTTAGCTAAAAAGAGACCAAGAGCTTTATTTCACTGATATGCTTATAAACAATGAAAATATTCTATGCATATATCACATATGAATGATAAACGCACAGTATATCCCACCGCTTAATTTATAGTTAGCTTCGTTCCTATGTTATAACTATGTATTGGTGCTGACTGTAAAACTGGGGTTAACACTGTCTTACGACTCCTGCATTAATTTTTTATGTCAATGAAATCTCTGCAGTGAAAATATTTCTTTGATCTTATTAGTCTTATTTTTAGATATTTAAGCATTATCATTCAATATTAGTTCAAATAAATTCAATAAACTTTAACATTAGTTCAAATAAAAATGACACTTTTAAAATTGGCAAAGAGTAAATCAAAATAATATTTTTTATATTATATTTGACCAAATTCGCATTTACAATGCTTATACTGAAAAATATTCTTAATGAAAAATGACTAAAAATATGTTTTTTTTTTCACTAATTACTTGTGGCAGTGAGTCACTAGGATTACAAGCAACTTGTAGAAGTCGAAAAACTGCAGTTTTTCTCCTTGTTTTGTTGCATACAGAGTCTTTATACTGGAAGATGACTTCAAGAGCATAAAGTAATGTTCCATTTTAATAGACGGTTATATTTTTTTATAAGTAGTTATGTCACAGCAACATGTATCTTGTTTCGCAATATCTACCTATACATCCAAAGAAATATGTTATGAAGACCAACCAACAAAATGTGGAGTATCTAGTTGTTTATACATATAAATACTGGTTATATGTATTATTTTATTGTCAGTACCGAACATGATATAGGTATGCAATTGGTGCTATATTTTATGATAAATATATGCAAAATATTTGTTGATGTCAGTGTGTATGTGACAGTTAAATAAGACTGCAGCTATAAGATATATAATAAGCGCTCAATAAACTTTTATATTAAAAGACTTGAAATATTTTAGTATGAAACTTTGGTATATCAATGTCTACTATTTTTTTTTTATAAACATTGATCCATCACAAGAATAGAAATGCAATTGTTTTCGGAATGTATCGATTCTCTTAAGCAAGATGATAAGCGACCGAAATAGTAAATTTCCTTACCTGCCAAAAAAGGGTTTCTTTTTAAGGAACACTTAATTAAATTTTTGTTTTAAATCCTGTATACCATAAAAGGGAAAAGGAAGAAAGATGAGATGAGGAGAATAAAAATACCAAAATTTAGCTTACATTATACTTGAATTATCTTTGAGGTACCTAAGTATTAATTTTATTTTTACCTTTTGGTATTAACATATCCGTCAGTATTTGAGTAAGGCCAAACATTGATACTATGTACGTTCTAAAGAATGTGATTTTTGTACAACTAAGTACGCTTTGCTATGACAATATTTATTATAGTTCGCTAAGTGCTTATTTAAGGTTTTTTTATTTTATTAAAAGCTACTTGTAAAATGTCCAAAAGGACATGTAGTAATAGGTATATATAAGGAACACCATGTATAATTAAAAAACAATCGTAGTTTCGTTTTCGAGACATACTTAGGTGTTGTATTCAAATAACATCCATTGCAGGGCATTATTTAAGTGTACACATTCAAACCGATCAAATATATTGGCACCTTTACTTCAATTTTCTAACTAAAAACTCGATTTGACTGTATACAACAACACTATTCTACTCAAATCCATTCGAAACAAGTTATTAGTTTGTAGATAAATTGAGAAATGATGCCCAAATTTTTCGATTTTATTTGACTACATATAATTTAACCCCCTGTTCGTATAACATTGTGTACCAGCGCACGCAGCATGAAGCAAGATTCTCTTGAAACTGGTCGAAAGTGAGATATTGTATGAATGCACCCGAGGTTTGGATGTGGAGAAAACGTTTCTTAGTTCATAATGCTTTGGTCTAATCTATGATAGTAACAGCAGCATAGTAAGATTTATTCTACTAATATAAGTATTGCTCAAGACTGATTGTCTGTAGATATATATTTTTATTTTGTTAATATAAATATTGGCAAGTGTTTGCAAAAGATAATTTTGTGAATTTAATATTAACTGACCGTACATTGACTAAGACCTACCGACTTGTACCCCTACTAAGAAGAAACATATAACTATTATTTAGTTACAGAACTCTTTTCACGTCATTCCATTGTAGGGTTGCCAACCTTATTATAATATATAGTATTGTACTATATTTTGAGCCTGCGCACTGTATACGGTTGGAGAATATATATTACACCAAATTCAAGCAAATAAATATATTTTTTAACAAGGTGCTTATTACATTAATTTTTGATTAATGCATCATCTCAGACAAATAAATGTCGTAATTTCTATTATGAACTGTTAGTTTCTTTCGCTAGATTCTCTTGTCAGCCATAAGTCGCTCTGAACGGGTGGTAGATAAAAATCAAATGTTTCAAAAGTGACAAAAGATAATTTCATTTTATAGCGTGTAATTATATCCTAACGCATGCGCATGATATTAGTAAATGTTTGGTACCGTGAAATTTGAAGGGTAGAACTGTAATTTTTTGGAGTGTACTATGTTTATAAAATTATTTTAAAAAATACTATATCTCGTTGAAGAGTGAAAAAGACAAAGCATTGTTTTATATAATCAATAAGTAAATTATTAGTTACTAGTCTAGTTTTAGTCAATGTACGAGAAGGTATTAAGGGAACTCTATAAATTACATAACAAAAACTTTTAACGTTCTGTTGTAAGACGAGGAACAACTTTAATACAAGGTTTAATAAAACCATTATTCGACCTAAATAAGTCTACACACGCGTCACCTTCTTTTATTAATGGCTTGTCTGCGCCTATCGCACAATTCTGCCAATCTCAAGTAGATAAATTAATTTCTACATGTAAAATGAAAATGAAATGAATGAAAGATGGAAATGAATCTTACATCCAAGTCCCAATTTGAAGTTTTCTATTGTCGTCAATTTGCTTTATGCGGCCAATGGTTTAAACCAAGTACTAAATTTAGTTCTCGTTTTGTAATAAGACTACGGTTTAGTTTTCGTATACATCACAATAAAATTTTAAAGCGCCGTTTACCGGAATAATACATGCGGTTACCACACCTGAATGCGGTTCCCACAATATATCAAATATCCACTACTATGCACCTACGTATACCAACAGTATGGTGGAGAAATTGATAGTTTTATATAACCTGATTTGTTGTTGACTGTACAATCGACATCACGTCGAGTTATTACCAAAGTGCAACTTACTCAAATCTAATTTAAAGCCTCAATCTAATAAAAAATATTTACTGTAAATTGTTTTCTTCCGTTTCTAATTTAAATATGACAAATTATACAGGATATTTAATTATATAATACTTTTATAAATACCTACCCATTAAATTACCGAAAATATCATAGTTTAATCGAATCTACTTTTTAGTTGTTTCGAGCGGTTTGTATATCTAGAAATGTATAAATGTTCTCTTCTTTGCATTGCAGCTATTATGCATCGCATAACTATTATTATTATAATAAAGTTCTTTTTCTACAAATTTGTTTAGTTTAATTTTTTATTACCATGTTGTAAATTATTATAGCCATATCCCGAAAACTATGAACATCTGGACAACTGGAACAACGAACTTTAATGAGATTTTTAATACACAGTATCAAGAGGGCGGTTTATATGAATAATACGGGACCATGCGGGCGAAACGCTTGTTTACTATAAATGCAGTGTTCAAGTTGTTTTGTTGCCGATTCCTGTTTAGCTCTGAGGAAAACCGAAATAAAATGTTCAGAGCTCTGTGGACAAGTGGTTATACAAATAAGTGATTTTTACACATTGAAATTATTAACTTTTTACTGTGATTACGACAAAGCCCCCAGTTGAGCTGGCGAATAAGCCTGCCGACGGGTCAAGAATTCGTTTCAAAATCCAAGTTAGTTGCGCAATCGTCCATTAGAATTGTCATTAGTTAAAAGCGACATTACCCATACAAATTTAACATTCATAAAACTTGGAAGCGTCATTAAACTTTAATTGACGTTTGTGCCAATGGCTGCCAGCTGCCAAACCGACGAAATTTTTTTTTAATGTTAGTAGGGATAGAGCAACTGGGATTGAACCCCAAAGCGCCAGTAGAAAATGAGAGGGCAATAAATTAAACAATTTTTTACGAACGTTTTATATTCTGGAGCTTTTTATTTTTGATATAACAAAACACCAGTTTTTCTTTTAATAACAAGTCAACTTACTAATAGATCTATCTTATAGACCTTGTACTCGCTTTAAGTCTTTACATTGTACATTCTCACAGCAATTCTTATATATCTAAGTCATGTTTATAGAAGTTATAACGGTATTATTTCATAATTTGAGCATGATCCTTAAAAAAGTCACGACAGCACTTTGAATTGAGGTCAAAATAAAAATAATGTTGGCCAAATGGAACAAGATCGAGCCGTATAAGCGGTTATATGCCTGAAAAATTTAATGGCTCATTCAAATTTAATGGTAGAGTGCACAAGACGATACATTGGCTATAAACCAATATGCCAGCCAATGGTGCCAATTCTGTTGTGCAGCAGAATTGCTACCATATACAATGTAAATGAGTCACGAGTGTCAAAACCCAAGAATATGTTTCGATTAAAGCCCACCGTTTTAGCTTGACCACCCTAGCTTCCAAACTAACCCATAGGCTGCACCACCTTATTCTATTTGTCAGTGCAAGTGTTTATATGATTATTTAAGTAACATAAAAGTCAAGTGTGAGAGAGTGATATGTTTATCATCATTTATCACCATGTCACACATTGCTAACCGAGATACATTTAGTAGTACCCAAAAAAGTTATCACGACTAAATCAAATCTTAAATAGATCTATTCTTTAAGTTAATCAATTATTCTAGAATATTTAACATTATAAGCATATTCTAAAATACTACATAACGATGTGGGTAACGAAAAATCACAAAGAAAAGAATTCGAAACTGAATCGTCTAACAATCCCAACAACGACCAACTCGACAACACACT